AGCTACCAGGTTTTCTCTGTAAATAACACAATGCACAAGAAGCATTTCTGGATTCTCATCTTTTATCAATTCTCAGCGTTACGGCCGGAAAATTACGTAAAGAAGGCTGCCTTCTATATTCATTAAACATGAAAATTTCTGCTAGCTTTTCTTGTACAGTCAAAAGTCGTTAATCCGGACTCGTCGGGACTTCGGCGATTCCGGATTATAGATCATCAGTTTAAATCTGGTAAGATGGCATGCAGAAATTATAAAATAAAAAATATGAAACCGTAATTTATGAAATAAAGAACAATTATGATCTAAAGGGTATCAAAATTTACAAAAAAGCTTAATATTTGTTTACTTTATTAAACATTTCTTTCAATGCAAGTTGTTTAAGTTGCTTCATTTTTTATGTGATAATACATTCTCTTTAATTCTATAAACAGACATAATTTTTTCTTCAGTTACAAAGTTCCGTTGTTCAAGTCCTATAATTGCTGTGTCTACCGACTAATTTTTCAATTGAAATTTTTTCGTTTTCAATAACCTCTATCACTTTCTTCGCTATCGGAAGCGAATTATAATGACGAGGAATTTGATTTAAATCATATCAGAGTACATCGAGATAAAATACTACATTTAGTATGGAATTATAAGCCAAATAAAATAAAAACATCTGCCCTGAAGATAAGGATAGTGCTGACTGATCAATTTCCAATTCATTGTGCGCCGGCCTTAAAGATAAACAAAGTTTAGATAAACAAAGGATATCCTTTTATCCATTTTTGCAGCAATTCCACTTTTTGTTTAATGAACTTTGAAACATACTTTCGCTTTGTAGATTTTTTACATATTAATAAATATATATCAGAAATTCTATTTGACATAATCGAAAGTTCAAGCTTACTTTTATAAAATTGCTCTAACAGTCTGCAAACAATAATAAGCCGGATCCAATTCGAAGATTAAGGAACAACACAATCTGCAACATTAACTGAATTAGATAATTTTAGTTTAGCTTATATCGTCCGTTATACATTAAACGCGCATTCGTAAACGTATTTTGAGCATGCGCACACGTGTATTCGCAGCCGTAAAGGTCTTAAGCGCATGCACAGAAAGTTTGTAGCTTTGAGGTCCGGATTATGGGTGTCCGAATTAACGACTTTTGACTGTATCTGATTTTGGTTTGTATGTATATTGGAAGAAAAAGAATCAAGGTACAAAATGAAAGAGTAATTTTTTGATTAAAATCAAGAAAATACCACTTATTCATTACATTTTGAGGAGCTTTGAAATTTCAGGGCTAAACCCGGAACGCTCGGAGGGTTAAGCAACCGTTTTTCTTATTCCGTGCTTTATTTTATTTTTCAACCATCAATATTAGGAGCACCATCTGCAGTTCAATATGTATTATATTTTTTTATTGGTATATTTTTATATCTAAGTAATTTTTTTAGCTTACCATAAATATCTTTGGAGGTATTGGTGCTTTCTAATGATTTAAAGAACATTTCTTTGGCAAAATCCCCCTTATGAATATATCTTACATAAGTATGGCCTCACTGTCTCTCACAGTAGGTTCATCCATTTGCATCGAAAATTTTCTTGTTTTCTGCTTTTCAACAAGTTGTATTTCAATATCCTCACTCATTTAATCTTTCTTCTGCTAACAGTATTGTTATTTAGTGGCATAGCTTTAACGTCTTTGTCACCTTTTTCCAGAACAGTTTTAAATGCTGATATTGATGGTTTGATTAAATTCTCCCCTATAGGATGGCTTTTACCAGATTAAGCGATGAGTAATAAAATTCAATAAATAGCCTCCACAGCATGATTAACAGTTGCATTATGAGCAGTAAATAGACACTTTAATATTACTCTATTTTCAAAAATTTTCCTTTAAGTGCGAAAATAATTCGAATCTGAATTAATATCAGCATTATGTTTCGCCTTCAAATGTGCCTCAAGATGACCTAGTTTCATTGATTTGTTGGTCAGGCATTATTGGCACAAAAGGACAAAAGTTATTAGTTTATGGACAGGGCATGAAACCGAATTTCAAATATGCCTTCGAATACCAACGAACGTTTTTTTCTTGCTTGCACCCCTCATTTCACTAAGGGCTGAAAGAAAGAAATATAAGATCAATACAGTCAAAAGTCGTTAATCCGGACTCGTCGGGACTTCGGCGATTCCGGATTATCGATTTTTCCGGATTATAGATCATCAGTTTAAATGGCATGCAGAAATTATAAAATTAAAAATATGAAACCGTAATTTACGAAATAAAGAACAATTATGATCCCGGGTATCAAATTTTACAAAAAAAAAAAAAAAAAAAAAAAAAAAAAAGCTTAATATTTACTTGTTTACTTTATTAAACATTTCTTTCAATGTAAGTTGTTTAAGTTGCTTCCTTTTTTATGTGATAATGCATTCTCTTTAATTCCATAAACAGACATAATTTCTTGTTCAGTTACAAAGTTCCGCTGTTCAAGTCCTATAATTGCTGTGTCGAGAATACCGACTAATTTTGTCAATCGAAATTTTTTTTTTTTTTCGTTTTCAATAACCTCTGTCACTTTCTTCGCTATCGGAAGCGAATTATAATGACGAGGCATTTGATTTAAATCATATCAAAGACGGAGTACATCAAGAGAAAATATCACATTTAGTAAGAAATTAAAAGCCAAATAAAATAAAAACATCTGCCCTTAAGATAAGGATAGTGTTGACAGATCAACTTCCAATTCATTGCGCTCCGCGGCGTTAAAGATAAACAAAGTTTAGATAAACAAAGGATATGCCTTTATCCATTTTTTGCAGCAATTCCACTTTTTGTTTAATAGACTCCGAAAGATACTTTCGCCTTGTATATCCTTTACATATTAGTAAATATATATCGGAAATTCTATTTGAAATAATCGAAAGTTCAAGCTTACTTTTATAAAATTGCTCTAACAGTCTGCAAAAAATAATAAGCCGGATCCAATTCGAAGATTAAGGAACAACGCAATCTGCAACATTAACTAAAATAGATAATTAGATAATTTTAGCTTAGCTTATCCCGTCTGTTATACATTAAACGCGCATTCGTAAACGTATTTTGCGCACGCGCAAATTCGTATACGTAAAGGTCTTACACGCATGCGTAGAAAGTTTGTAGCTTTGAGGTCCGGATTATAGATCATTCCGGATTATGGGTGTCCGAATTAACGACTTTTGACTGTATAAACAAAGCTGAAAGCAGCTGCTGTTGCCATTCAAGAAAAGAATAATATACCGGTTGCCATTCCTACAGTAAAAGATAAAATAAATTCGTTGGCTGAAATGTGCAAGAAACGTCTGGAAAACATAATGTGTCAGTTATTTAAATGCCTTTAAAAGCATTTAAATGTCCATGTCTACAGCGAGAATTCTTTATAAAATATTTAAAATGCACCACAATTTAAAAACATTTTTACGTATACATCACTTACATTTTTCTTTATTTTGGGGAATAAAAATGAAATTTCGAAAAATTTTGACTTCATGAAACATATTTAGAACGTCCTTTGTCCCCTTAAACTCTGAACGAGTCCATTTTCGAATTGCCCCCCTTAACAGTCGCATTGCCCCCTTGTGGAGCGTGGGCCCCACATTGGGAAACACGTAGGTAACCTAAAAATTGAAAGATACATCATAACAAATGCAATATATATACTTTTAAATTTCTACTAGGGAAGGCTGTTCTCAAAGTATTGCATTTTATAAATAATAGAAGCATGGCAACAACTCATCCTGGCTATGCCCATATGATACACTAAAAAAAGATCTTTTTGGTTCACAGTTAAAAGTATTTGCTCACTCCTCATAAAATGTCTTTTAACTTGCTTTTGCCAGTTCCTCTATTTTATATGCTAACCAACACTTTGAATAAATTGCAACCGCTTTTGTATGCAAATGATGATTTTACAAGATTTTGAAACCACTGAACCAGATGTTCATAAGCTAAGAAACATAAGCTTTTCCTTCACTTGCAACTTTTTACATTGATCCTCCAAATATTTCCATTCCCATTTAGTTTTATTTAATAGCCATTTTTGCATATTTGCATATGAGGTAAAATGTGTCTTTCTTGGAAGAAATTTTTACCATTCTTGAAAGAAAAGCATAGTATCTTCCTTCGCTTCTAGGAACATTTTTAATTTTTTTTTTTTTTTTTTTGAAAGAAGAAATTGTAAGGTTGTAATAATAAGGAAATACTCAAATTTATTGTAAATAACTTAGTAAATGAATATAATTTTATTTTCCCCATAACAGCTCTAGACTGGACTAGTTACATATCTTCAAGCTCAACAGAATTGCCCCCCCCCCCAAAGTGAAATTTATGTTTTAAACTATATTTACAACACATAGATTTTATTTAAAGGCAAAGCAGAAAATATTATAATTCGAGGAAAAATATCTGTTGAAGGCTTGTAGTGTAAGCAATCCTATGAAATAAATTCACAAGTTTCCCTGTGTTATTTTCTGATAAAATAATAACATTACAAATCCCCTACTTCCATTCTGTCTGCTTTGCCATTTTTAACACATCATTTTAAATATAAAATTTTATACTCTATATCAAATTTATGGGAACTTAATTCTTAAGCTATTAGGCATATTGTAACCTATAGCTTAACTTAAAAACTGTTTTCTGCTGTAAACCTGAAATCTACATGCCAAGATCAGACTACAGTTTCTTTTTTTCTTATTTTTACAGTTTTTAATTTTCATTATTTTAAAAATGTAAATGTTAATTAAACTCTTCAAGATTTTTAGATTGTAATTTTTATTTATTTTTTATTTTGAATATGAGTATTTACAGTAATAATAATTTTTATACACCATTTTTCATGTTCTCAAGCTTGAAATATTAAACTTTTAAAATATCAAATTTATCATGCAGGATAATATTAACGAATATGAAAAAATAACAGATTAAGTTAGTTAATTACAAAAAGAGGAAATAAAAATTAACCACATACTTTATACAATATATAAGTCCGTCTTATATATTCAATTACAATCAGAGAAGTCCAAGAACACACTATGATGTCTAGCTCTTTATTTCCACAAGATGGCCATAAAACAGCCATACAGAAAAATCCCAGGTATACTATATAAAGTGACTGAAAAATATAATTCTATTACAAAGAATGCTAAAACAGCTACATATATTTATTTTTTAATGATATTTTCAAAATTCTATATTTGCTATGTCACTAAACTGCAAATCATCTTATACATTACATTTGTTCAATATATATTACATCAGTACCTGGAATGTCCAAAATTTTGTTATGGGTGCACTCCACATAAGGTAAATCATTTGCCATATGGGAGGGGGTGAATGGACGAAAACTTCTTTTTCCCTCAACAAAGTAGCTACTTGATCTCGATGCTTACCATGGCCAAAGTCAAAAGGATTTGACTTCTGTTTTTTCAGCAAAACTACACTGTTTCTAGGCCTATTATAAAAAATTAAATTATCTTGCATGCTTGTAATTAAAAAGATTTTGACGAAAAATAAAATAATTACATACTATCTATTTATGAGAAAGAAATACTAATAATTCATAATGATAAAAAATAAAAATGTCAGAAATGACATAAGACTTCTGATTATACTTGAATTGATATTATATGTTTTTCTTACATTAAAATCAACGACGATTGGAAGAAACATAAATATTAAAATTTATCTGCAGTTAAATTTTTGCTGCTTCAATTCCAAGAAATTTCAATTTGTCTCTTTTTATTGGAATAAATGATTGCATTCACATTTTTGACTTAACACAATTCTTTTGCATGGATAGGCTTTAAATGTGGTTTGAAACTCCTGAAAAACTTTTAGGAATTCATGCATAAAAAAGCTGTCCCTCTCCGATTTTAAAAAGCCAAAATATTAAATTATTGAACGAAAGCAGCTACACCTTTCTTATATTACTGTTGTTCAATTTTTTCCAATACCAGATTTTTAATTAAACAGGGAAAGAAGGTAACATTTATTAGCAATTAGAATCTCATGAAATGAAATACTTAAACAATTAGAACATAATATTAACTAAAAAGTATTAACAATCAAATACAAGAAATGATGAATACAAAAATAAACTGCCAACAGAAAAGAATAAATACAAAAATAAACAAGGCTTTTCCATAATCATATGAACCAAACATGTCCATGCTATACATACTGCTCATTACATGGCACTCAGGCTGCTAACATCAATATTCTATAGATTCTTATACATTACACATTATATATATATATATCTTTATACATTACAGTAGCTGCTCACCTGATGTAACAATTTGAATAATTCGAAAATGAGATATCACCTCAGAATCGATATGAATAAATTAATCTAAATTAACTGAGAAATAATCAAAAGAAGAAATGGAGATTTGAACAGTGGAAAAAAAAACTGGTTTCAAAATTTTCATCAAAACAAATATACATAGTATAACAACCAAAAATTGAATTACAATCCATAACCTATGGACCATGGAGAATGACCATGTGATGACATCAGAGGTCATGTGGGTCAGAAATCGCACGATCTCCAATTCCTTGTGCTATTTTCGGAGATTCTTTTCTTATTTCAGCTAAAAAAATCATGGCAACACTAGTTTCACAGTGCTTGATTCAGTAGAAACATCTTTTTTGCACATCCAGGATATCCACAATTAATGAATGCAAGAGAAGTTTACTAAATTGCATGTGCAACTACAAGCTCTCATGTTACCTCTTTCGACATACTGAGGTATATGTTCTCAGTATAAAAAAATATCATCAACAACGCTGCCCAGTGTTTAAGATGGGTACCAGCACTCTACAAGCACACCTCAACAGGCTTTACTGGTGGCAGGTCAGGCATGACTGGAAAACTGAATGAAAATGACTAATCTTCAGTGATGAGTCTTGCTTTTGTCTTAATACAGGTGATGGTTAAATACATGCATGGCAGTATGTGAGTGAAGAGCTTCAAGACGCATATTTGATCGAACACAACACAAAGTCTTCATCTACTGTTATAGTATGAGGTGTTATTATCTTACAGCTCATAGATTGCTCTAATATTTATAGTGGATAATTAAACAGACAGCTCCACACAACCACCAATAGATGTGTCATCCTATGAGAAGAGAATAAAGAAGCATGATGGTCTGTGCCACAGAATTTCATCCTCTGCTGTAATGTATAAAGATGTATATATAATATGTAATGTACAAAGGTATATATAGAATATGTAATGTATAAAGATATATATGTATAATATGTAATGTATAAGGATCTATAGAATATTGATGTTAGCAGCCTGAGCGCCGTGTAATGAGCATTATGTATAGCATGGACATGTTTGGTTCGTGTGGTTATGGAAAAGCCTTGAGGGCTATCAGCCTAAGGGAATTGATGCTTTTGTGGTGGACTTTCTAAGGAAAACTGGTTCATATACATGGTACACATGGGAAAAACTATGAAAATGTCCATGCAGCCAGCCTGTTCATGGGATTCGAACCTCGGACAGAACTATCAGTGTTCAGAGACTTTAAGCATCGACATGTAAATAAGTTCGAGTGTAAATTTTTTCCTATGCTTACTATAATTTATGTGACTTTTCTAAAATCTTCATTACATTTGAAAATGTGTGTACCAAGGCAAACCATCACAAAGGCTTAGAAATGTTAGCCTAAGTGGGGGAAAAAAAAAAAAAAAACTACAGTTTGTCTTCATCTCACTTAGTAATGTAAGTTCATGTGTCTGGATTTCGTCGAAGATCTGCCACAGTTGATCCACTGGATTCATTTTACAGCTTGTTTGAACGTTCATAGACAAGATTATTCATGGAGCGAAGTTAACGAGATTCCTGTTCTCTTTACTGCTAAGCCAAGACTCATCTTGCAAAGTGATAGCCATCATTAATTCATTTGGAAAGAATGTGGAGCATAGTATCACCTACCAAATCAAAGAGGACCAGACTCCTCAGCAAAGTGATAGTTTATTATTAGTGTAACTGAGAAAATGTCAAATAGAAATGTCAATGCCTTTTACTTGAATCACCTGCGCTACAATATAACAAGCGGTAAAGTGTATTTACGCCGCTCTGCGTCTGCAAGTGCAATCCAGAGCTGTAACTCGAGAAATAAGCAATCTCGTTGTTAGGTGACGTGTGCACCATGTTATTTTCATTTTTGTACGCGGTTTGAGACAAAAGCATCTTGAAATGCGTGGCATGTCGTTTTAGCGCAAGTGGTTAAGGAAAAGATATGTACCTTTAAGTTATGCCTCTTTATAGAGTTCTCAGTTTTAATTTCCTTTGAATAGATAAAAATGCACATTTAACAGAACTGCATTTATTAAAAACTTCCTTCCCACTGAAGATACTGGAAGAATGTATTGACCAGCCAATTTCCCCAGATTCAAACTTCATAGAGAATGCAAGATACTACCCTGTCAGATAAGTTGTGCGATGGCTATACTTCATAATTCTTCACAAGTTAATAGTAATACTTCTTACAGGCATCACTTAAGAAGTTATCCCACCTCGCATAATTTTCCTAGCACAAAAGTCTTATACAATACTATATACATTTTTGTTGTTCAGAGGCCCATATTTAAAGTAAAGAAGCCATCGTAGAACCACACATTTTATTTACACAAATAATGAATAAAAAGAGCAATCAGAAAATCATATTGAGCATCACACAGCATATATTATCTCACCATCTCAGTACGCTCTAATGAGGGATGTGTCGGGAGAAAAGACAGCTGTGCCAGCATAATTAATACACATGCACATAAGAAAAAAAGTTGGCTTGCCTCTACCCAACACGCCCCTCCTGCAAGCAATATTTTTTCAATACAAAAATGAAATACAAACAAACAATATATAACACATTACATTTAAGAAATTATTTTCAATGTATACATTAGTTTTTCTTCACTGACACTCTTGGTAAGAAAATCTGCAATCATATTATCAGTTTGTAAATATTCCACCTTAATGACATTGTCCTTTATTAAGTCCTTCATAAAATGGAAATGTAAGTTCATGTGTCTGGATTTCGTCGAAGATCTGCCACAGTTGATCCACTGGATCAACTGCTCAGTCAAGCAGCAATAGATCCTGCTGCTTGACAATAGCTGCTTGATTGTAGCTTGACACTAGCTGCTTGACTGTCTGTATTCAAAGACCACTGCACATTCCAAAAATTGTTTACATTTTAATTCTGATAAATTTACAATCCATAGAATATCCTTACAAATTTCAGAAATAGAAAATAATTTTGCTTCACAAGTAGACAGACTAACACTTCTCTGCTTACGACATTTCCAAGAAATCAATGAATCACCTAGTAAAATAGTACCACCAAAAATGACTTACCATTTTCTGCATTTCCCCAGCCTAGCATCAGCATATGCATTTAAAACTCCAAATCATTGCTATAGAAAAGTTTTTATTTTTTGTACCTTTTCAAATACCTTAATACCCTTTTAGCCAAAAGATTAATGCCCTTTTTTCTGGTACATGATTAAATTGTGACAAATAAGTTGTTACAAATGATATCAGGACGCGTTCTATTCGCTAAATATAAAAGTTCCCCTAAGTAATTCCTGATACAAATGTTGCATCAATTTTTTCATTTGTACATGAAAAACCTTTATCTGCCCCTTTAACGATTGGTCGTTTTTACTGCTTTACAATTTTCCAGATTGTGTTTAGTCAATAAAGATTCAATATATTCTGTTTGAGACAAACATATACCATTTTCAAGTTTTTCTATTTGCATTCCCAAAAATTTTGAATTAGTATTTTCACTGAATGCATTTTTAATTTTAAATAGTATTTTCAAGCATTCTTATTACAAATACAGTAAGTCATCAACATAAACCAATAAAAATGATTGGGTCTTATAAATACTATACAATTACCAGATGCTAATGTACCAGCAAGCTTTTCTAATCAGTTTATTTCATATCATTTCTCAAGCTTATCCGGACTCGTCGGGACTTTGCCGATTCAGGAGAGGGTTTTTCCAGATTATAGAAATCAATTAAATCTGGTAAGATGGCATGCAGAAATTATGATCATAGGGTATCAAATTTTAAAAAAAAAAAAAAAAAAAAAAAAAAAAAAAAAAAAAAACTCAATATTTATTTGTTACTTTATTAACATTTCTTTCAAGTAAGTTGTTTCATTTTTTTGCTAATACTTTCTTTATTCTATAATGAACTATTTCTTGTTCAGTTCCCCTGTTCAGTCCTTTATGCTGTGTCGAGAATACCGACTACTCGTCAATCAAAATTTTTTTGTTTTCAATAACTCTCTGTCACTTTCTTCACTAGCGAAGCGGTACATCAAAACATGCTTTCGCTTGTAGATCCTTGGCAGCTCCAGAATCGGAAACTCTTTTTGACATAATCGAAAGTTCAAGCTTATTTTTATAAAATTGCTCTAACGTC